GACGAGAAATACACGTTCTCCGGTTGTTAAAATCATATTGGGCTGAAATCTTAACCATAAAAAATATGATTAGAAAAGTTCACAGTAACTTTCTGAACATCCTATAGCATTAAGCAAATAAATAAAAAGGAAAAAAAAAAGTTTAATTTCTTTAATAGACGTTAGTTTTACAATTATTATTATTCGAATTTATTAAAAGATTTTATTATTGTTGTGAATTTAAGAACTCGGTTATTTTTCAAAGACTGTTTAAGAAATATTAGAATTATTAGGCAAAAACAATAAACAACATTTTTTTTCATGAAAAAAAAACAACCTTTTTCTCAATTTAGGAAGAAACATATATCTATTTAGAGTTTAAACGTATTTTTAGTAAAAGCAAATATAATCTTTCTTTGAAAATAATTTATGAAAGCCGAAATCATTTAGAATGTCTCTAGAGGTTGGATCCTGAGGTTAATCAGCCAATCAGAAGGGAGGAAAAAACTAATAAAAATAATTAAAAGAACAACATTTTCTGTTTTTCATGCGACTATATTGAGAGTTATGACCGTCGCCGTCCAGAAGTTATTTGGCATTAAATAAATACATAAATGTTATGATGTTGATTTGGGGTTAGTAGAGACAAACGCCAAATAACACGTAACAATAAAAAGGGTTTTAATAGGTTGGTAAAAAGGTACAGAAATCGCCTGAGTAGTCAATAACTAGCTCAGCTAAGAACTTCTGAGTATTTATCGATCCCCCCACGAGGATTGAATGTGACACAAGGCCGAGTTTAATGTGAGTTGATCCGAGCCCATAGGCTCGGCCAAAAATATAGCCCTTGAACCCGCCTAGACTGGTTCAGGGCCTGTCTACCTCCCCGGACGAAACCTTGCCCTTCGGCAAAGCTTCGTCCGGGTTCCTCTCTGCTAACGCAGAGAGTTCGACAGACGTTGAAAGTCAGCTAAGAATTTCTCTGAGTATTTATCGATCCCCCCACGAGGACTGAATATGGCACAAGGCCGGTTTAATGTGGGTATCTCCGAGCCCGTAGGCTCGGCCAAAAATATAGCCTTTGAACCCGCCTAGACGGGTTCAGGGCCTGTCTACCTTGCCCTTCGGCAAAGCTTCGTCCGGGTTCCTCTCTGCTAACGCAGAGAGTTCGACAGACGTTGAAAGTCAGCTAAGAATTTCTCTGTCTATCTGTCTTCTGACATGTCACTATTTAAAGTCTTTGTTCGCAAACAAGTTCATCTTCAAGAGGGGTGGTAGGTTTCCGACACAACAATAAATAAAATAGAAAAGTTTAAACTGGTTTGTTAAATAGTTGTGACTATTCTGAAATAAGTGGATAGGAATAAACTGAGATAAGTAAATAAAAATAAAATACGTAATAAAGATACTTCAAGGTTAGTTTCACAATCATATTAAGCTCAAATCCCAGGAGACCAAGCAGTAGTTCTCCTTTGGGAAAGGGTTGGGGTCATTACCTGGCAGCTGAGCGTTCCCAAAAGGGGTATTGCCGAGGGGAATTAAGCAATGTTTTTCAAAAGTATTGCAGTTAAACCCACTTTAAACCGCGACCTTGTGTAACATTCACTAGCGACGTGTATAAAATGAAAAATCCAGTACTTCCCTGGATTCACCTCGGGTAGTTTCAAAATAATATTAAGCACAAGATCCACGGAATCATCTCTCTGGGAGGGGACTAGGGTCATTACCCAGCGCCAGAGGCATCCCCTAAAGGACAAGTTTCAAGGGGATTGGGGCAATTTTTCCACGGTATTGCCGTTAAGCCAACTTTAAACTTACTTTGGCACATTCGCTTGCGACGTGGGTGCACTGAAAAATACCCCTAGTCTAGATGATCGCTTCTACCGGGGAATTTGTAAATATTATTAGTTCAAGATCCATGGCCATCCCACCAGGCAATAACTCTCCTTCGGAGGGGAACTGAGACACCTGAGGCGTCGTTAAAAAAAAAGGCAAGTGCCGCTTAAGCTTGAGCAATTTTTCCACGGTATTTCCAGTAAAACCACATTAAACCTCGACCTTTTGTAACATTCGGTAGCGACGCTGGTGTACTGATAAATACCTACTTATTTGACCAAGCCCAGCCGGGTGGTTAAAATTTAATATAATATACACAAGCCCCAGGGCGACGTGCCTCCAATCAATACCTCACCTTTGGTTGGGGACTAAGGAATTACCTGGAAATTAAGGTTTACGAAAAATGGAGAGGTAACGAGATGGATTTCAGCAATTTTGGTCACAATTTTAATATATCCATGGGACTGCCACTTAAAGACGGTCTTGTGACATTTCTCTGTTCGAGTGGGTTTACAGATATCTCCTAATAAATTACAGTTTCATGACTCAAAAATATTCGAGGAAAGTTTGGTTATCTTGAAATCACTGGAACCGCTGCTTAGAAAAACAATATGTCCTAGAGGGGACAATCGATAGTATGAGGGTGGTATGTATGCGGAACAGGCCTCATCTAGAAGGGTGAACGACAGATATAATTGTTAGTCACCTCGTATTTGAAATTAAAGGATTTAAATTTATAAGTCAACATTGCATTCCACAACTTCAAACGCCACATTTAATAGATACACGTGTTTGAGTAAATATCCTTGTTTTTGAAAACAGTGTGAATTAATGTCTACCGGACTGTATATGTGAGAGTCTTCATAAAGAAAAAAAACACACACACACACACACGCACCCCAATCCGGCGATGTGCGAATCCACGCCCACAGAAAACCGCATTAAGTCCGAGGTACTTTCAGACCGCTCATCTACGAATCGCATTAACGGGCGACCGCTCTTAATTTACACTATAAATAGTGTAAAGGAAATGCAAATAACTTTAACAACCACAGTCGAAACGTAAACAAGATAAGTTCTAAGGAAATCTATGTATCTTTTTTTTTAAATCAACCTAGCTTGGAATACCACTAGTACGCAAGGGGTTACACAAAGTGAAAGTGACAGAAAGGACTGGGTATAGCGGGCACCGAGGAAAGGATAAAACCTGAACTGGGTTCCAGTAAATAGAAGATGGCAGTGCATATAAATTTTCGAAGATTGTAGTTATCAGAGAAGCAAGGAAATGGGAAAGAGTTCTACAGGCGGGAAGTGCGAGAAAAGAAACGTTTGGGGTAGAAGTGGCGGTTACATTTACCTAATCCAACAAATAAACGTGTGGGACCTAGCTGCCAATCGAATAGCAGGTTTAAACTCACGTAGTCTTGGCACCAGGGGAAAAGCAGTAGCCATGAAAATATTTGCAGAAAAGACAGAGGGAATCCACATCAAGTCGAGATGTCAAATTAAGGTTGATTACATTGCAGATCCTTCTTTGGATTTTGTCAAGAACTTCAAGATGAGTTGCAGGAGTTCCTGACCAGATATGGCAACAGTATTCAATGCACGGTAGATTTGTAAATGGGCAAGATGGATTCTTACGAGAAAAAAACTTCTGGCACGACACAGTGATCCAACTTTCCTTACAGTAGATGCAGCTATTGATTCAATGAAGTCGGTCCACTTCAAGCCAATTGAAAACGTGAGGCCAAGAAGGCGCAGTGTGTTGCTCTCCAGGAGCCATGATTAGGCAGAAAATGGTGGTTAAGTCAGAGCAGTTTTATTTTGGCGTCATTAAAATTTACGATCTATTTCCTCTACTCATTCGAGGTTCTTTCCAAGAGCAGCAGCTAAGATTTGTCAACTCTGATGGATTTGCTATGGAGACAGGAGTAAATGGTAGTGTCATCAGCATAAATGCCTACATTGGAACTGATAACATCAGGGAGATCATTGATGAAGATCAAAAACAGAGTAGGACTCAGGATATAACTTTAAGGGACACCCGTGTTCATGTGAAAGGATCTAAAAGCCAACTCCATTACAAACGACATTCATTTCACGATTTGATAGGAATGATTGTATTAAATCTAAACACACGTCCAGTAATATCGTAGCCCTGGAGCTTACGTAGAAGATATGCGTGTCTGTCTATCTCTAAGGATATCTATCTATCTATCTATCTATCTATCTATCTATCTATCTATCTATCTATCTAAGGAAATCTCTCTCCTTCTCTCTCTCTCTCTCGCTGTCTCAAAGAAAATCTATCTATCTATAGGGAAATATCTATCTATCTATCTGGAAATCTCGACCCATCTCTCTCTCTCTCTCTCTCTCTCTCTATCTATCTATCTATCTATCTATCTATCTATCTAAGGAAATCTCTCTCCTTCTCTCTCTCTCTCGCTGTCTCAAAGAAAATCTATCTATCTATAGGGAAATATCTATCTATCTATCTGGAAATCTCGAACTATCTCTCTCTCTCTCTCTCTCTCTCTCTATATATATATATATATATATATATATATATAGTGTATTTGTGTGTGTGTCTGTGTGTGAGTATATACATAATTCTGTCATTTGATTATCCATATTAGGCATGGAAGTTTCTAGAGACTGGGATATACATACATACATACATACATACACACACACACACACACACACACACACACACACACACACATATATATATATATATATATGTATATATATATATATATATATATATATATATAAAATATATATTAACATTAAGGTAATAGACGGAAATAGATAGATAAAAAGATAGATGTGTTTTCTACGGTTAATCAACCCTTTGCAAGTTATTTAAAGGCAAAAAAATATATTTTATTTCCGACTGTAAGATTTTATGGGAGAAAATAATGATGTAGTGATAAAAAGCTTTTACTAATTAAGCCCCGAGCTGGGAGAAGTGATGAGTTCATGATTTGATATTTGCGCATAAGTGAATATAACGAACTCAACTGGAATTAGAACTCAGCCCTCCGATTAACAATTCGGAACCATTATCTATTACACCATCTGCACACACAAGCTTACAGCGCGTGGTATTCTCAAGTGGTCACCTATCTAAGTATCCGATGATGCTTAACTTCGGTGATTGTACGGGGAACAATGTTTCAACGTGATGTGGCCGTAAGCCTTCGGATAGATAGGAAGTGCTTAATCATAGAAATCCAAAAGAGGGAGGAAGGATGAAAGAGAGAGAGAGAGAGAGAGAGAGAGAGAGAGAGAGAGAGAAAAGATATACA